CATGCTATTGATAATTGACATGATTAATAGCATAAATGAAATGTACACTCAGGCTTATTTAATGGGACTTCTGCTGCTGCATCTTTTCACACATTTTGTGATATTTACATCATAACTGGTCAAATCCAACTTCATGCATACATTTAGGCTACATCTACATTGGCAGCTTCTTCTGCAAGAACTCTTTTGCAGAAGAGTTCTTGTGCAAAAACTCTTCCACAAGAGAGCATCTACACTGCCATATGCTTTTGCACAAGAGCATCCATGGCAGTGTAGACACTCTTCCGCAAGAAAGCTCTGATGGCCATTTTAACCATAGGGGCTGCTTGCGCAAGAAATTCATGTTACCTGTCTACACTGGCCTCTTCTGGAAGAACTCTTGCATAAGAGGGCTTATTCCTTGTGGGGAGAGGAATAACTCTTCCGGAAGAAGCCCTGTTTTACAATGCTAGATTGTAAATTTACTTCTGGAAGAATGCTCGTGCAGTGTAGATAACTGGCAAATTTTTGTGGAAGAACAGCTGTTCTTCTGCAAGAAGCTACCAGTGTAGACGTAGCCTTAGGTTGTCTTCTATCAATCTTACGCCAGGGGACGGGTGATGTGGGGGTGCAGGACTCTGCAAGTGTGGGGTATGAGAGGCTCAAGGCAGGGGAGCGTTCAGGTGTGTATGATGGGCTCAGGCTTGGTGTGGAGTGTTTGTTCAGGAGTTTTATGATGCTGTGGCCAGATGGGGGCTGGGCCCCAATTGGAGGCTTGTTGGCTGGACTTAACATTCATTTTTAAATAAAGTATGTGCAACACAAAAGGTTTTAACGTTGACTTGATTTATGGCTGGCGTGGGGAACCTTTTTTGGGTCGGGGCCCACTGACCCACAGAAAAATCAGTCGGGGGCCACACGAGTAAGAAGGGGGGGGAACCCTCCAGAACACCCCAACTGAAACACCTCACTCCCCTGGTGCTCCAGCCCCATAGAGTGGATTTTGTGAGCCTCTCTCCCTCCTCCACCCCGTGAGGGGTGGGGGGGGGGAGAGAAACAGGATTGCCAGTGAATGGGATAGGGATGGGAGTGCAGAATCTGGCTCAGAGGAGGTGGGATGTAGGAGGGCGTGAAGGTGCGAGCTCTGGCTTGGGGGCAGGAGCAGGCTGGAGAGAGGTTGCCTGGCAAGGGGGCAGGAGTGGCCAGGGGGTTCCTGGGCAGAGGGTGGGGAGCATTTTGCCAGGTGTGTTTTGGCCCGCAGGTGTCTGGAGGTAGGGTGAGGAGACACTTTTTTCACACTGCATGGCAGGCAGGCCTCCTGCTGCTGTTGTTCCACGAGGGATTCACAAGGGAAGCCTCCAGAGAAGTGTTTTCCCATTGCTTGTTTCCTGCATGCAGAGGGATGGAAAAGAGCAGCACACAGACACTTTTTGTTCTGCTTGTTCCCTGAACATTGGGTCAGAGGGGGAGGCTCGGGGTTTTGCCCCCCCCCCCCACATCTGCAAGAAGCTGGCGTTCCAATTTTGCAGAGGACCATAAGACTCTAGCACCAGCACTGACTCCTTGCTGTGGGGAGAGCAAGGGGAGGCTCCAGAAGAGCGATATCTAGCTCTCCCTAGTGAGCCATATTTGGCTCGCGAGCCTTAGGTTGCCAACTCCTGGTCTAAGCAGTGCTGAGCACTGGTAGACTGTATTAGTAACTAGCTGGAGTTACCTGGTATTGCTCGGGGCCGGTGGTGGGGTCCTGCCAGGGGTGCCCTGTGTGAAGGGTGGGCGGGAGGGGGCAAGCACGGGACCAAGGGTGGGTGGGGCGGCACATCTTGCGCATGCG